AATTTCGAAGTGGAGACTCGGAAGGCAAGACGAATTTATCAAGTTCCGCTCGCTTCTTGCCACGTATAGCTGTAATTTTCGCAGGGAGATTCATTTCTTGAGGCTCCTCTGTAGATTGATTAGACCATTGCTGTCGAGACTTTTTTGGACTCTTCGCTGCTGCGTGGATTTTTGCAGCTACTGGGGTCTCATCTACGCAGGAGATAGGAATAGAAGCGCTAAGCTGCCCTCCCTGGTTCTTGTCATCGTCTGAATCATAGTTGCTGTACGCTTGAGCGATTACTGTTTCTCCGAATTCTTTTAGGCCCTTGGTGGGTTCGACAGCAGTTATCTTGGTGTTAACAAATATCTGCGCTTGCAAAAGGTGGTAGATTCCTACGAGCATTGGTTGAACGACACCGCCTAAGGCCCATGAATGGCAAGATTGATCAGGCCACTTATCGACGAAAACACCTAACTCATGTGTCCTTCCCAAAGCTTTCCAACCAGGGCAGTCAAGAACAGCTCCTGCAAGTTTCATGCTTTCCTGGAGAAGTTTACGATCTTCTGGTGAGCACCTCGTATTTTCCTTTTCGAGGTAGGAAGTCGAAACACTAAGTGTACCCTGAACATCCTTTTCTCTAAATCCTGTCCAGATAATATTACTCTGACGAAGATTGGCAAGCAAATGAGCTCGAGGTTTCGTATTCTTTCTGTGGAATAGGTAATCTCCGTCTGTCCGCTCGCTTGTAATGGCATTTGACCGGAGAACTTGAATGAACAGATTAGCGGTCATTTTGTCATGAAATGAAGGCTCGAGATAGGTTGTATGATGGGTTAATGGGGGTAAAGTGATGTCTCTCTCAACATCACATGGTCGTGTTTTGACAACTAAGCTGGAAAGTACTTTTCGCATCACACAAGAAAAACCCGAATAGGTTTTCCTTTGACGGTCTTCATGCCAATAAACATAATCTTCCCATTCCGCCGCACCTTCTGTAGATCGCGTCCAGGGGTGGACCTTCAGGAAATTTGAAGCCAGTAGACCGAGACTTTTCACAGCCCCAGCGTCTTCTTGAAAATCAAATGATTTCCTTTCATCTATTGCTCTTTCACGTAAAGCTTCAGCATCTAAAGAATCCTCTATTCCATTTTTCAGCAAATCGACTTCAACACCAAGAAGGTCCTTAGCGGGTGTCCCGGTAATGACCCAACGCCTGTCTGCTGTTACTAGTTCTTTACCGACGAAAACTGCTGCAGAATTGGACGAGGAAAATCCATGTCCTTCATCAATAATAATTCGAAGGAAATGAAGATATTTCAGAGGCGAAGTGTATATTTCGTCGGCTTTGAGACATCGACAGTCCCGTATCCGAGATGCCCCGATATATTCACAGTTGCAAGTGGTGACAGACTTTTTTGAGAGGCGACGACCTTGACTGTCAGTACCATCCCGAACCTCTTGTTCGAACCTAGGCCGACTGAAAATAATCAAATCAAACTCTGCGAGTTTACTCGGGCTTGGAAGAGGATCACCCGGTTTATCAATGACGATGGTCTTTAATGCGTTGTCCTCAACATGATCCTTCAATTGGAGCTGCCATTGGTGTACCAGGTTTCGAGGGACAACGACAATCGTTCCGCTACAAATCTGCACTTGTCGCGGTGCATATTTGCGCTGTCCCCTAACCAAGCGGACTGGTTCGACAGGAATGGAATAAGTAGCGGGACATTGATCTAGCTCTTTGATACATTGCATCATCTCTTCTCCAGTTCTAGCTTCTATCTTTCTCAAGGCAGCACGAGCAGGTATAGAATGCTTGTTGATAGTTGAAATAGTCATATTCACTAGGCTTGCCGCCACTGGACGACGAGCTAGGGATTGCTGATACTGAGATGGAATATTCGGCAGATGGTACTGTGTAGAAAGTATCACAGCAAGACATATCAGAGTTTTTCCCAGTCCCTGCTTTAATCAGACTAAGCTTTACTAAGAGAGTCATAAGGAACCTACCATAGTCTCTGCTAGAATGCCGCCCTTATTCGACTCGTAGTATCTTGGTGTACTCAAAAAGGAAACATCTCTCGGATTGTAATAATATACTTTACGCATGGGACTTGTTCGTTCATGAAGACGTGGGTCTAACTCTAGAACGGGTTCCGCTTCCCTCTGGACCATGAGAGCTGCAGAACGTGCTTGGTAGGGATACAAGAGTGTCTTGAGGCCCGGAATATGTATCTTATGGTTTAACAAATCATTGATAGCGCACCTCGAGAACCGGTTCCGCACCTTAGTAGCATCCGGAGAAGGTGATTCGAGCTTATTGAAGAGAAAGAATAGTGATCGATCTTCAAAGGTTCCCCAAACATTAAACATCTGCACGCAATCCGGCATGGGAGCGCCATGCCAGGTATTTGGGGAAACATCGAGTCTTCCAATAAGATGGTGCAATGCTGATCTCAATAATCTTCCGTCGCGGGATGACTGATTGCGGTAAACATCATCCGGTAGAATGTAGACACGAATGATGATTTGATGATTTGTGAAGAGTCTATTCAAGTTGATGAACAGTCTGACGCAGTCTGCATCCAATAGCTTTTGAACATCAACATTCAACGGTTCAGAGATATTGACTAAACCAAAGGTTTCCCGGTCGACCTCTTTCCAGTGAGCTGAATCGATATTTGCGTCATATTCATCGTGCCAGGTTAGTTCTATGTCCGGTGAAAGGTTTACTCGAAAGGTAGAATGATGCAAACATCCTACCGGTATGTAATCACGCAGTGCTGGACGTCGACTTCGATTTAGACATGCCGCGGGTCTAACCTTGGAGGATGAATCAGACGGAGAATCTTTCAGCGCGTCACTTTGGCTCAGATGAAAGCTATCCATCTGATAAATTCACCCCGACTCTATAACGAAAATTGAATTTAGTAGTCAACATTGGCGAATTTTTGGCTTTATCGACGCGACGGGACGTGAGGCAGCCATTTAAGGGTCCGTGCACTATTTTCTCTTTTCCATCCTTGCAACCCCTTAAGTTGGGAGAGTATATTTTTTTAATCCATTGTATTGCATTATCTACAATACTACGCATGCAGCCTCTTGGGCTATAGCGCTACTCTTCTATCTACATAAATCCCTATTCTAGGGCAATAATATGTCTAGTGAGAGTGTCTGGGGATTGAAGCTCCCCAGTTGTTCAAACTTTGCGGTCTAATCCAAGCATTAGAAAAACTGAACCAACTCCACTATATCCTTTGCTCTTCAATTCCCTGCATTATATATCGATCTAGTTTTTCCCCTGTATGCTATCATTTTGAATATGTTTCTTGTTCTTCTTCATTGATTTCTTTTTTATGTAGCAGCCAGTTAGCTGTTGAGATTTGTGTACTATGTATTGGGAGAGTATACGGACAATTCAAAACGCACTTTTAGACCTAAGCTAACTGCAGGACTACTATATACCCAGAGGAGGTATCTAGTAAGAATATCTATACGGATAATTTATTATTCTATACAAAGATACTCGTGTCTATTTTCTCAACGCGATATTATATTTTGCTATAGAACACGTAAGGTATTATCCGTATGGGGATTCCTGCCATAGATAACTCCTCTAGCGTATACAGTAGTCGTACAGTTAGCTCGGGCCTAAAAGTACGTTTTGAAGTGTCTGTATACTTTCCCCTTAGGTTACGGGAACGTTACATCAATCAGTTCAGTATCTAATTAAACAAGGGGTGTGCCTCCTCAGGTGTTTAGATAAAGTGGTCAATCGTCCCAACTTCCTGAACTGGTTTGTTTGAGATGACATCGAGCCGATACTTGCGAGATTCATCTCTGTTGAGACTTATCATCGAGTATATAATATCACGAGGAATTTGTCATACCTGATCTTGCTCTAACTCAGTTCTCCTATTCGGATAGCTGAGGGTTATGATATATTACACGGATATAGTCCTCTCTGTATGGACTTTGCCGATGACTAAAAGGTGTAACAGGCTAGAGCCTAGTGGTATGAGCGCGCCCTGCATCCGAAGATCAGCCAGTAATATTTTCCTCAAACCTGCCTTCAGACTCTTCTCTTCTTCTTTATCTTGATTGTAGATAGCATCTGGACTAGATAGTTGGAACACAATTACTAGAGGCCGCTCACAAAAGGCACATAACACTTATGTCTGTAAGAGTAGTTTCTCACAGTTATTAATCAGATTGCGACATGATGATTTCTTTTAGGCACCACGAAGTCTGAACCAGATGTTGTGCTGACACGCCACGCCCCTCATAGTTCAAACGCCAAAATGTCAGATACCGACCATTAGGGAGTCAGGCCAGAAATTCAGTCAGATCAAAGTAACTGTTCAATCGCTGTGTCTAAGCACCTTATCCGAAGATGTCCAATTCATTCGTGTTTCCTTCCACCACTGCCACTCCTTACTAAAGTCACGTTCCTTACGTTCTCTTCAATCACAAACTCGGAAAATTCTACTCTCGCATCTTCCTAATCACCTGTACTTGTCGAATTTCATGGCACTTTGGTGCAGTAGTACGCGGTACTTGCTCAGGTCATCCTACTGCATTGCAACTGATCATGTGGCTGCTTAAGGATACTCATTTGGGTTTAAGGAAATGGAATCTGCTATTAATTATCATGTATTCGCCACAGCAAAATCAGTTCATCTGGTTTTTTGGGACCCCAAGGGGTCTTCTTTTTGGCGTTTTTTTCTTTCGTTATTCATCATAATTTTTATGCTAGTACGTAAGCGATGAGTGAGGGAAGCGTATACTAATGATAAAATCGAAGTAGATATCTTGAAGGGGGAATAGATATAAGTCTAATATTAAATCTATGTGCCATGTTGTAAACAGAATTATATAGGTAGCCTCTTAAATCGACTTTAGTAACTCTAGTATTAGTCTTATTTATTTTGTAGAAATTTAAATTATCAATTGCACACGAGGAGGAGGCTATCATAAGTACAACTTTTGTTTTACTTTTTGATTCATTTTATAAAGTTGTCTGACCTCTAGGAGGGAAAAAAGAGAAAGAGCTTACCTTCGGTTTGCTCGGGTCATAATGTGAAGAAAGCTTACCTGTCCCATAAGAAATAATCCAGTAGTGTACCTACTGATCCTCTTCGGCATTACTTGAGCGCTTCTTTTGCAACGCCTTACTTCGACGAAGACTCTTTTTTTGTCTTCGCCGTGTTGAAGGTGCCTCCGGTACGAACCTTGTCATCAGGGGGCTCCTATAGTGACGCGGAATAAATTGGTGAGGTAACCACACCACAGAATCAATATTTTCTGGAGGTTGATGGTATGGCTCCCATAGCCCTGCATCGCTGTCCAGCGCCTCTTGCTCGAATAATTCGGCTTCAGCCTTTCGAGATCTCATAGGATCTGACAACGATCCATTATCAGGAGCTTCTAGGGCCTCCCGACGCCAACGTGCTACCGAACGAGTGTTATATCTCGGTACTATGATCCCTTGGTTGGCTCGTCTCAATGCTCTACGACGTGCATGTTTCCGTGCTATTTTGGTCATATCCGCCGCTGCAGAGTGTTCGGCTGTAGTGGGTTCTACTGTCTCTGATTCTAGACCTATGGCCTTGAAGAAATCATTGTTTACGTTGAGCTCACCAGCTAGATTCGCCAGATCATTTCTTAGGGCGTTGGCATCCACCGCTTGTGGAGTAGGACTTGGAGCTGGTGCTGACTCCGGATCAACAGATGACATGGGAGTATTATAGGGTACAATATGCACCGGCCCGTCTATGTCGAATTGCGGCGTTCGAAGGAACTCCTGCTCCATCTCGGGATCTTTGTTAGGTATGAGACTATATTCCTCAGGAATAGTCTTCGCATCGGATATATCATGATCCTCATCGGCATTCTTGGAGTCCCGATGCGAAGTCTCAAGGTCTATCCCCCTTTCGTAGTCCAGCAGAATTCTATAACTTTGTCGGTGGATGGGAGGCTCTTCTTCATCCCTATGCACTTGAGCAGCATTAGTCTCTTCGGGATTCATTTCTGGTGGTTGTTCAATTCCGTTGCTGCTCTCGCCTCCCTCCTGTTTCCGCAACCAGCCAAATATGTTGGTGATCTTAGAGAACGAAGAAAGGGTAGAGAAGATTCCGGATGCCACCGAGGACGTTACTTGGGTTTCTGGAATCCGACCACCACAGCAAGGCAAATCATGGGTACGATAATGCCATTCTTCTATGTCTCCGAAACAGGTCGCCAGTCCACTAAAAAGTGTCTGCTGCTTATCGCAAGGACGAATTTCCAAGTTATTTGGAAATCTGCTTCCTTCTGCGCATTGCCCATGGTGTTGTATTTCGAGACACATTTTATTGTGTGATATAGGTGAATGACAAATCAGTATATAGTGAATGGGTAGCTTGAATGCGTTTTGCTTATTGAACCCAGTGTTTGAAGAGAAGATTGGAGAGGTGGAAATTGCAGGAAAGAAGTGGGATAAAATTATATTCAATCCTTTACTACTCCTATAATGAGACCACATCGTCTATAAACAGTGCACGTAGCAACCCCCTATGTTCTTTCATGACCATCGACATAGTAACAAAAAAAAGTTTTCGACTTCAATAGAATGTCAAGGAAGATATGTTTTGAGACAAGAGGAGACCCAATATTGAACATTGCGTAAAAACATACGTCCCGAAATGGCGACTGAGACATGCTTTGTGTTTGATTATATCTGAGTTCTCCAGAGGTGGCTATTCGCATCTTGGTGTGCACAGTAAAATCATATATACTGCAGGCGTGTATGATTGGAGAATTTTGGGAAGATTTAAGGGATTTAAGAGAAGGGAAAAGATGGTTATGGCTCTCGTTGAAACGCATTTGGTGCTACAGAGGTCATGGTGAGAGCAAGCGAGCGAGGCAAAAACCAAACATATCGCTCATAACAATTGCACCGATTTGTTATATGTACATTTTCTATTGAAAGAATGTCTAAATTCATTTCAGAAAAGTTCATTCGCGAGGTATTATGAGCTCAGCTCAAGCATAATTTGGTGATTGAGGCTGCAAGTCTTACTAATCTGCTTGTTAGTAGCTCAGGACTCTTGTTGGAATCAACAAGCAGTGATACACTTTCCTTGATGTTTTTGACACGTCTTGTTTCGTGTCTCTCATCCTTCTACTTCTGAGTTGCCTATATGCTAATATGAAAAATTTATTAGATGCCTCTTTCCGCTCTGGGTATTTGTCAGAAAATATACATATAACGAAGTCACGCACCAACGCGTTTCTACTCGCTCTATTTTGATATTGTCCCATACATTCTTCTCATGCTATACGGTAACAGGCTCGTCGATCAGTATCATCCCCCCTGGTACCCCGGTTGGCAGATAGTGCCGGCTACCATGTCGCTGGAACGAAAGTGATACGCACATGTGGTGCCGTCTTCAGAAACACCGGGAAATGCTGTCTCAGAGCACTTCAGCTCGAGTGAAATTGTACCAATACTTGGAACGCTCGCTTCCTTCAGCATATGGAGACATGCATGGTGCTTTAATCGTCTATGCATTGTACCGAGACATTACTCCTAAGCGGGAATCACTAGTTTTACAGCTATATTCAAGACTCTTATATCGCTGGTTACAAGGCCAATGAAAATCTCTGCTGAGCAAGCCAAGGTGGATACCTATTCAAGCTTAGCAAGTAACTGGGTACTCTATTTTATATTACAGTTATCAGCTTCGGGAAGCAAGCATATTAAATGTTTTAGGATTAGGTAAGGAAGTTCTGTTATAAGCTCAAATAGAGGACTTGCGTACCATAGGCTGACTCACTTCCAAACTACAGTGGGAAGACATTGTTTGTAGTTTAGCAAGTCAATCTTTTAGGTACATCACCGATTTGCATGCATTCCTATAATGGTTTCAGTGATTATTACTTTGAAATGTAGCCGATTGGACACCAGCTTCATGGTCAACACTTCTACACAACTAGTCTTAACGGTTGCATGTTTCGTCCACTCCAGTTGTTCAAAGCTTATATGCCACCACGACAGACGTTTTCAAGCCGATTGAGGCTCTCTTCCGATATAGTTAGGCTATTTTGGAAGGGCTGTGTAGAACGGTCAGAATACCACAGTTCCCCCTAACTCTCCCCTTCTCAAGTTATATGCTTTCTATACACTTGGTACCGCAGTCCTACATCTTAAATAAACTCGCAACGCATATTGTATGAGCATTCGTACAGCTAACAGTCATTTTGTATACTATGTTTCATGAGGTACGATGGAAGTTGAACGCTCTTTGAAGGCAACTATAACCTTTTACCACTGTTCTGGGTAATATTCATCTAGTGCTCTATCATTTCTTTCCCCACTCTCCTTGCATGGTTTCATTCCGACTCTCTGAGCTTGAGCTGCAGCCGTCATCCACCGCGCCACATCAGTCAGTTCGAACAAAGAAATGACAAACACCATTTTGCGAACAGTGAGCACTTAGATAGTGACACGACTATTATGACAAAGAAGATGAACGGTTGTGCAAAATGCATAATAGGAACAAAGAAAATTTCCTTCTTACAATCCGGCGATGTTTACACTTCCTTTAACCATTTCGGTCTTCGCATCATTCTCATTATAGTTCAATGAGAGTATTGATGTACAAAGAATGGAGATACATCCACTCGAAGCTATCTACGCCGAGGAAGCCGTTGCTCCACCATTGTTGCGTCCGTTGTTAAGAAAAGACCCGTTGTGTTCGTCGGACTGGCAAGACCGTACTTTGCCAAAACCTTGGTCTTCACATCCTTTCCCAGCTGCGCTGAGAGAGAGAACTGGTGTCGACAACATGTCAGAGATACAAATTCAGCGACTGAATGATCCAAAGATCGAAGATGGGCGGGGTGGGATCTCCTCGCACATACGCCGAAGGTCGCACAGTATTATCCGTCAACGACGATATTGTCGAAGATCGAATACGCCCCAGGGAATCGAAGTCAATAGTGTCGAGTCACCCAAGCTAGAAGAGAACTCATTAACGTTAGTGAGAAGGAGGACCGTAGATACTGTACGAAAGGAGGACCACAGCATCGTGACACCGCAACAGGCGGATCTCTCAGATCATATTAGGGCAGCTTCAGAGGAATCGAGGGATTCTACAGAGTTAACACCACACGTTTGCCTTTGCCCCCCCGAACCCAAGGTTCCACGGCCAAGAAATGGTTAGTATATGCTCTCTTTCTCTCCAAATGTTTTTGAGCGTGAATTTTTTTTTTCTTTTTCCGATGCGTTCGTTTTTCTTTCTTTATATTTTCTTGTGCATTCTTACACTTTTCTTGATATCAATAACTAATCCCTTTCTTTGTAGCCTTTATCCTCTATCGTCAGCATCACCAAGCCAATATTGCTGCTCAACACCCAGGTCTTCCAAATCCGGATATCTCAAAGATCCTCGGTGAACAGTGGAAAGCTGAAGAAGATAAAGTGAGAGAGCAGTGGAAAATTTTGGCTGGAGTAAGTCTTACTGCACAGACTTAGCTAACTGCAATACTGACCCCGTAAAAGGAGGAGAAGGAGCGCCATCAGGCACAGTACCCCGACTATCGCTTCAAGCCCCGTAGGCAGGGACGTAACAATAGCGGAGCCCTTACTAGCAGCGTATTATCAACTTCCCCGGATAGTGGACAACTGTGTGCCAGGTGCGGAGGACGCAGCATCATATCTCCCACTTACCCTCTTCCACACTATAGGAACAACAGCTTTACAGCAACCCCAGATCTGAGAGACGAAGCATTCGCGAACCCGAATCCTTCGCTGAATTCACAACATCACGCTTCAAACGCTGCTGTGTCTATTCGAATTCCCTCACCACCCAATTATACTAGAGCTTCTTCAATATCCCCATCCCAGATACCACATCTCCCCCGCGTTATTCACTCTTCTCCTCCTACCCCTCGATTCCACCGTGAACTTTCCCACGTCCTACCAGGCCGTCCCAATATCACAGAAATCGCACTTCCATCCGCAAAACGAGAAATGCTTTCACCCTTAGGTCCGGACGCGAAGCGTAGACGTATCGAGACTTCCAATCTCCCACCTAGGACGCAATACGTCCCAGTGAGCGCTCGGCTAGGCAATGGAACCCCTTTCCCCTTCCCTTCGGGCCCTTATCCTTCCCGTGGCATGGCTACCCCCACTCGTCTCCCAATGCTACAGCAAAGCATCATCCAGCGTCGCAGTAGCGTTTCCCGCCCTGATACTCTCCTCACACGCCGCTCACCAGCATCTATGGGACCTCCTCCACGGCCCAGCCCCAGGCACCTCTCTGCTTCCGCAGCAACAGCATCAAACCTGTCTGCTGCGGCGTCCAACAAGGCGCTTTCAGGTGCTCAACCGGCCGGGGAACCATTGAGGCTCGCACCGCTGACGGATCAGTCGCGCTCGGTGGAAGCCATGGTGATGTCGACGCCAGTACTGGGGAAGATTTGGACGCTGCGGCGTATTGCACCGGCGCTGAAGCAGCCCGTAGATAGTCCGGGCTTCCCGGTGCGAGGAGCTATTGTGGCTGTGGAAGGCGATACGGATGAAGGAGTCGAAGTGATGACTAGGTTCCTGGCCGAAGAGTTCAGACGTGAGGATGATGCGTACAAAGTTAGAGTAATGAGGGGCCCGGAGGTACCTAAAGGTACTAGTGAGGTTATGAAGAGAGATTATTTGAAGGTGATTGGGGAGTGGGAAAGCAAGGGTGAGGAGATGGAGAGATTCATCACCACCCCCATCTCGGTAAGTAACGAAGACGTAAGGGACAGAAGGGAAGAGGGGGAAATAGTGGAAGATGAGAAGACGAGTAGAATTGCGCAGCCGGAGCTGGAGCAAGATACCGCCAACAAACTGAGCAAGACTCCCCTGATCCTTCTCCCAACCTATCATCTCCGCGCTTCAGATGCCTACGCATCTCGGATGCCGATCCAAGATAACTACTCACCGATCGACCATTGGACGTGGATGGCAACGCTATGGCGAGGGATCGTGGGGCCGGATATCACAATTTTCGTCAAGGAGGTTCCTAAGGAAGAGATGGGAAAAGAAAAAGCGGTTGAGTTGAAAGAAGAAATTAAGACGATACTAGTTCAAAAAGTCAAAGGAGAGCCAATCGGCGAGAGAGAATTAAGAAGGGCAAGGTTTGAAATGGGGGAATGGGTTAGGGGAATTTGTACAGGGCTCGGGGGAACCCAGTGAGATGTAGATTGATACCAAAGATGTGGTAGATCCACGGTAAAATCGTACTCATGGCGTTTATCTTAATATATCTGTAATTAATAAATCGAGTTGCACAGGAGATTTTCGCCGGAGGATTGGGATTCTAGGTGAGGCCAAACACATTGTATTCGCTATCAACCCATTTTTGAGAGATGCGGTGTCATCCGCCCACTTCGACCTATGCGACCCCGGCAATTTCTGTCACTCGATCGTACACGCTACCGTCCGACCCAA